GTTTTATAAAAATAACAACAACAATAACAACAACAACAACAATAAAAGTTACCACTCCTGGCTCTTTGCAAAAGTTAAACCCCCCATGCTATAGTTTGCTCTATAGGCTCATGTGATCAAATATGCAGTGTTCTCCAGCAGGGCCGTGTATGCATGCATGAACAGATCAAACAGACAGATCCATCAGACTTCCACTGGGCTTCACTTTGTGCAGCAGCAGGAGCAGCCATTAACAGAAAATAAATGTTCAACGCCATAAAACTGACAGTGTCTCATTCATACTGACACTTGGGCTAAATTACACATAAAAGCACTGATAACATCATCATTAAATATTGATTTTAAGGATGGTTGCAAGCAAAACAAATCTACACACACATGCCACAAATTGTAATGGGGCTGCTTTGGATGTGAGTCAGGATGATCGTAAGGAGCTGTGGGTGAGAGTGGAGCAGGAAACTGAAGTATAGGCGAGGGGAGCGGAGGGAGAGGAGGGGTGCAGGTGGGTTAGAGGGAGATTTAAAGGGGGCAGAGGCTCAGAGCAGATGTTGGTCCTGATGATGATGGATGGAGCTGGTTGAGATGCAGACTTGTAATTATGAAAGGCACTCGCTCCTCTCGCCACTTCTCCTCCAGATGTCACTGTGCTTTCTTACTCTGTTTCAGGCTGTTGTAATGCACAGACAATGTGTATGTGTATGTGCATTTTTACATTCATGAAAAACACTAGAGTCATAATACAGCAGGCAAGTTTCTGGTAAGATGAAAATCTCTTATTAATTATTTAAAAAATGCCCTTTTGATGTTATCCTGAATGCTGGACTCTCATATCTGTACTGTCAATAGCATGAGGTGTATCAGTAACTTCTTGCTCTGTGCCTTGAAAACAGAAATAGAAATAGAATAGAAATGTTAGTACTTTGCACAAGATATAGTTTAATTGTTGTTTCAGAAGTAAAGTATTTTTAAAAGTACATGACAATACAACACTGCTCAGTGCGGCTGTTGCAATATATATATATATATATAATTATTTTTATTATTTTAAAAATGTAATAAAGGGAATAAACATGGCCTCTAGATTCTTTCAATAAGCAAAAAGAAAGTTCATTAACCAAACACACTTTATATATTTACCACAAATGTATTATTATTTTTCATAAAATAAGACAATATTCACAGCACTGTATTTTTTATAAATATTTTATCAACACTTGGGTGGTTGGCATGTGTTTTAATAATAATCATTCAAAATAATACAAATTTAGTTTACTTTAATAGCAGTTAGCCAACTTGTATGCAAACTATTATGGCTAATTATCCATATCATCATTTTTTGTAACAAGGTATTGCTGTGTGTGTGTTTCTTTGCTAATTTATTGACGAAATTCTAAGTTGGTTGTAATTAAGTTATAAATAAAGTTTGTGTTGCGCTAATTAAAACATTTCCCTAAAAAAAAAGGGTAAAAAAGTACTTCATTTTCAATTTACACCTTTGAGAAGAATGTTGTATGTGTCTTCTTCAAACTATGGGATCACTGGGCTACCATAACTCAGTGAAAAACATTCAGTGTGTATGTTGGCAGCTGGTGAGAGTGAATGGGAGCTGCCGAGTGGTAACCTGCTCTCCAGTGCAGCTCATAAAAGGTGCAGGACACAAACATGCCACTAATTGATTGCTAATTGGTTCTTTTGTAGTCCTTCATTGTGTGTTGACAGAGGTCTGCCCTGAGTCCTATTCAGCTTCACTCTCACAAACTGGCCTGGACAACACATAAGCAACAGCCACACTTAATGACAACATTTAACAGCCACTACAAGGGCCTGAGTACTGGAATTTCACATTTATTTCAGAGATACCTGAGCCATCCTGGAGGAACTGCTGAGTTTCAGGTGACATTGCAATAATCTATAAGTCTTATAATATTTAATACAGATGGGAGATGCAGTTAAAATTAATGTTACTAAAATATTGACGATACAGTGAGTTCTTGTGTCTAGTCAATAGCCAGAAATCAGATTCAACATTTATTCATTTACCTTTTCGATATTTCTGGCTAGGCTTGTTACGATCATCACTTTTAACTTAATTTATTGTTCAATACATGAAAGCTGGAACAATATAAATTGGGGCTCAATATTATTTGCATAATATATCATATGCATATTTTAGCTGCAATAGTGGGGAGGTTTCTGCCAGATTTTATGTAATACAGTAAGATTTGAGCTGAGGGGTGAAAAAATAGCATTTAGGACTAATTACTGGTTCTTTCTGCTATTTATTTGTTGTAGCTGATGTTTTTTAATTATACTTATTTTTAAAAAAAAGGTTTAGTGGGATTAACCTGCTTTATTTTGATTGTGTCAAGTAGTTTCGTTGTTATAATTTTATTTATTTATCACTTTTCTGTTGCAATATATCATTCTTCAAAATGTGTTATAGTGACAGGCCATGCAAAGTGCAATGTTATCAATAGGAAAAACTGTCTCTTGCCCCTATTTAAATCTGAAAACCACCAATTGTCCTATACTTAATCATAAGGAAATTGTTCAGGTGTACTCCCCTTACATCTGGAGGCATGCATTTGACAGTAGCAAGAAGTGCAGAGTTGCCATCCACGTGTCTCCCTCTCCTTCTCTCATCAGTGCATGAGAAATTACCTAATGAGGAATGGGTCGCACATTTCCACAAACTCATTAACCCACAAGCGAGTGAGACTAATTGCTGCGTTTGGGTAATGTGATTTCACATCTGTTACTGCAGCCCAGGACACAGCACTGGCCGCGATGTGGTGAGCAGGACCACATAAGACCAGAAGGAAAATACAGTGGTTTACAGGCACAATTTTCACTGCTAAGATTACTGCAATATTTAAAAATGTATTATAAAATGTATTTTACTTGGTCATCCAAATACAACTGTTTGGCTTCTCTAAAAATCTCTCTCTCTCTCTTTAAGCACACACCAAAAACAAAATTGGGCCTCTTGAGGTTATCTGATTATTCAGATCTTTACTGGCCACTGTAGTTTAATCTGGGACCAAATCTATAGAAAAGGCATCCTGTTTTTATGCAGTAGGCTCTGCAAAGATAACAACGGTATTTCCAGTATTGTCAAAACAAGCAGTAAAAGTTTAGTAGCTAAAACATAAAAAGTTAACTTTCTGATTAAAATACTTCAGCAGTTTAAAAATGTATAATGGCATTCAACAATGACATTATAGGCCTGTGTTTTTCGTTGTTATTTTAATGTTAAATATACCAGTGCCATTAATTACACATGACCCCGCGCACCTCTGAAATGTAAATAGCGTATAAAATAAAATCCAAAATAGATTTGCTGTTTGGCATTCTTCGTGGCTAATTGGATACAACAGAAACACCAGGCTTGGAAATATAAGGTTGAGAGGAATAAATTATTTTTTCCAGGGTCTTGACTTAGACTGGTATTTTCAATAATTCAGCAAATTACGGCAAACAATTTATGTTAATAGAAAAGGTGGAAACCGACTGTTTAATATGAGGAAAGTAATACTCTTTTGATAATTGTGATTAATTCTTTGTTTAACCCGCAGCATTGTTACAGAAAGTCTAATTATAAGTTTACAGGCAGCGCGACTGCTTGCGCTAAGCCGTATCTCATCAATTACCATCCCGTGACCATAAATTGGCCTCCGCGCTGACAACGAGATGAGGTTAACACGCTGATTAATCCGAGCTGCTGTGATTCCAGCCTCAAGTTGACACTTACAAACTTTGACACAGACAGCAAGGGACGCACGCCTTCATAATGGAAAATTGTATTTACTGACTAAGGAACTGCGCTTTGAACGTCGAATTATCTACAATACAAACAAAGTTTGTAAGGTTTGCTATTTGATGGGGAAATCCGGAGTGTGGTGATTAGGTAAGAGGCAACACTACGCCAGACAACTTATGCTTGTGTTATTATTTGCGTTAAATAGGGTACAAAGAAGAGGAAGCGATCTCGCCAATTATTTTTTGACATTTTAATAGCTATTAGAAAGAGGAATCGATTTAGGATGCGCCTTAACACGTGTACCGCTATAAGCCATTGCGATGTTGAATTTTGCAATAATAAAAACTGTGCCCTAATCGACAACATCAGAGTAAACGCTCACATCCTTGTTACAGCCTATAGGCCCATTGATGCATTATAAAAGATACACGCTCAGCACATAGTGGCCGCGCGCCTCTGGACTTGTGCCATATTTAAGAAGAAATGTGCAATTTGCGAAAAATGCTATCCATCAGACAAAAAAACAAAACAAAACAACAACAACAACAAAAAAAAAAAACCTAAAAAACTATCACATTGTCATAATTCTTCATAGAGAAATAAATCATTCGTCGTTTGACAATCTTGAAAATTACTTTTATTGTTTGTCATTTTAAATTTGTACAAACCCGTCAGTGGTGCATTTTGATATGAGAACAAACATTTAGGAAATGCCTCAATAATAGCACATACAATAAGTTAAACATGTCACAAAAAGACCAGAGGAACAGAGTAAGAATGTCTTATGTACACACAACATCCGCACAGCGCAAGCTACTGACGCTCAGTGTATTTTTTCCTTCTTGAGGGCTGCCCCCAGGCCAACTTAGTCCAAATAACCCGAGGACACAACTTACGTGCACAAGTCCTGTAGTGCGAGTGCAGTAGGTCCTAGCAAGTATTGCTAGAATAAATAACCGTTTGACATAACACAACTTCACCTGAACACAATAACATGTGTGCGTCATGACGCACCCAAAAACATAAATACAACGACTGTTTGGCTCTTCGCAAACGGCCTATAGTCTATGTCATTACAATAGTATTCACCATCAGTAAGTGTTAAAATCCATTTGAATTACAAGATAAATAACCCCGAACCAGCCATTCCTGTCCGTGCATCAGTTTGATAGTTTTGGACCATGTTTTCTCACTGGGTGTCACTGCAGAGGCCTAGATCAGGGGTTTGACAAAAGTCACTTTAAGTAAAGCTCATGGACACTGTGTGCTCCAGTGCTTTGCGCCGCAATGACGCGATGCTCGTCCCTCTCCACATGTCACTGTCCGGGGAGCTACACAGCTGCGGTGAGCCCGACACGTTTGTAGGGCCAGAAAGAGACGCCGACATGCCAGGAAATGGGGACTGGTAGAGATGGGACTGCAGGCCGGAGCCGTTTGAGGTGAGACCGTTGGACAGGCCCATGGAGTTGGGTGGGGGTCCGGGCCCCAAGCTGCACTGGGACAGAGACTGTGCCATACCGGGTTGACGGCCCAGTGCTGGAGGCAGCTGGAGCTGGGATACGCCCGGCATGCCCGTGGCCCAACGGGAGTCATTTGCGTGGAAGGAGCACAGGCTGTTTTCCATTGCAGCCGCAGCCGAAAACTGGGGCAAGCCCGGAGTAGGCAACAAAGTGCCTGGAGCGCGGAACACGTTGGTGGTCTTCTTCCGCTTCTTCCACTTAGCGCGTCTGTTCTGAAACCAGACCTGCAAGAAAAACACGGATTGAGCCGTGACAGAATTCAGAAATCTAGCTAAACTGACTTTATGGTATTAAGGTCAATTAGGTCAGCTAAATTACTATTCACCAGTTTTTTTGTTTTGTTTGTATAACTGTATAGTTTCAGTAGCCCTAAAGAAAAAGAAGCCTCAAACAGTGCAGTTATTTAATAAACGACAGTGGCTTTTTCCTATATTCTTTTAACGACCATTGTTTAAATTCAGAAATATATATCAGTGGAAGGCCTGTAGACCGGTATAAATGTATAACTGTGCTGTACATAAACGGTGTGGAGATAAAACCAAGGGCATGCACAATAGAAATAACAACACGCGGCACAGCCATCGAGCTTTATAGAGATTTCACCACGTTACAGCGTGATTAATGCGCGCGCGAGGCTGTGAGCAGCGCCTATATTAAAAGTGAGATCTCGCTCTCATTTCGCTCAGCCATCCGTGAAACGTCCCAAAGCCATTACACCCATGGAAAGAAAATGCAATTTCTCATTCCATTAAAAAAGTACAATATATTCTGGGGTCCTATTAAGACGTCGCTGATGGAGCATTTTAGAACACGAGCGGGTGACGCGCGGTCCTTCACGCGCATTCCGACCTCAGTGTTTACCAACAGCACATGACCCAGTGCTGTAGCTCCTTTTGCTCAGCAATCCAACCCAACCAGCACACATTGGTGGAGTGACTAATAGTGGCACTTGTTTTATTGCTTTCAATGGGATCATTTGCATCAATGCCACATCAGCGGTTAATAAGGCGTTCAGACCCATTTTGTTACTTAAAGCCCAGTTTGGTGACAAGAGTATTTATTTTATATATCTGTCTCTGTCAGTTCTGGATGTCGATAGCCCACATTGCATTTTAATAGTTATTATGTAATTATATTAATTATTTAAAATGTTTGTTTGAATATAAATCGATATTCCTGTCCCCAAAAGTAGCACATAGCACGTTTAAAACAAACAGTGAATATATTATAAATACCATGTAAAATATAAATGCTAAAATATAACTACCAATACACTGCAAGAGTGCAAATACTGTGAGAGAGTGCAATGAAAATAAACGCAAAAAAATAGTCTGTCATATATATAGGCCTAAAGACAGTGATGTAAAAGTATAGGAGTACACTTTTCACGCGATATCGCGTGTGTATTTATCTACAATGGTGAACTTATTGTGAAGACTTACCTGAACTCGGGACTCTGTTAGGCCGATGCGCAGAGCCAGCTCCTCGCGCATAAAAATATCAGGGTAATGCGTCTTTGCGAAGCTGCGCTCCAACTCGTTGAGTTGTGCGGGCGTGAAACGCGTCCGGTGCCGCTTCTGCTTCTGCTGACTGGCGGTCTGACTGGAGCTCTGTGGCGGTTGCGGCTGTTTTTCTTGCTCCTTTCCATTCACTGTCATGTTTCCCGCATTGGAGCCCACCGTGGCAATGTCTTCACTGGGCAGCATGGTGGTGCCTTCTACAGAGTCCGCGCCAGGGGCCATGTCTCCCGGGTGGCCGGGTTCTGGCATTCCACCCAGGCGACACTTGAGTGGCTCTCTGTGTCCCAATAGCTCCGCAGCATCCTTCATCCCTGAGACCAACACAGAACAGCACAGCTCAACGCACGCGCTTTAAACTAGACACTGCTCGAGGAAAAACTGGTTAGGCAAACAATAAATCCAGTCCATTTATCATCAACTATAATTATTACAAAATACCACCAAAGCAGTTAGCGACTAACATCATTAACTACAAAGGCTATCTATCAATTGACAATGTGAAACAATAAGTTGAAATCTTACAGTGGAGTTTAGGGCCGTTGTTTAGAGCTGATAACTCACCAAGCCGAGCATCCAGGAGGTCGGCATGAGAAAGCATCGCGTAACGCTCCAGGGCGAACCGTACCAAAAACTACTACTGCAACTTTGAAGCAATTTACCAAGCATATATGCTCTAAATGAAGGAAAATTCGGTTTGTGGTTAAAAAGGGGGTCCCTTGCATTATAATGCCCTTTAGAGCGATGGGGAGGCGCTTATTAGTTCAAAGAGTCCTGCGCTTCCTCAAATAAGAGCCAATCAGAGCGCAGCCTCACAAAAGTCAGAGAGACGTGAGTACCCCTCCCTCCGCGTGTTACACACTCTCACCTCTCTGCAACAGTGCAGGCACACGCCATCACGCGCACGAACGAGGCGCTACAATTGAATTTAGACCTATGCCATTCCACCCTCTGATTTATTATCGTTTCGTGGTTAAATTACTCTTTGTTTAACATCTCACTGTGTTTGTTTAAGCCTCCTCCATGTCGAGGCTGTTTTCACATACACATGTAAACACACAAATTGATTTCTTTCAAAATAAATATTTCTTTTTACAATATGTGGTGTCTTACCTTTACATTACAGAGAGCAAATGTGTGACACTGTCATTATGCCCGACGCCCATATAATATTCTGGGATAAGATCAAGAAAAATTACAGACGGATGTAACATGTTAACGATCAGTACTTTAAACGGCATCGACTTTTCATCAGTGCCTACGCAATTAAAGGTATTCAACCTGTTAGGTGCAAACCAAATCACACGTGGTGCCACTACACGAGTGCCCTTGTAGCAGCGTCCCATCAGTATGTTTATTATACAATTAGCAGGACAGTCATTGATCAGTATCCAGGGCACCACACTCGGAGCCCGTTTCTGCCAGGTGGGTTTCAATAGGCCGGCCTTACACCACGTCCACGTATCCATTGCCATGGGTCGCTTTAGTAGCGCAACGATGACGGCGCCAGCGCACAAAATGCGCACGTGCAATGGCGTATGGTCTAAACGGGCACAGCGCACTCTTCAGACGTGCATGCGCATAGTAGACTTGATTTAAAAATAAAATCAAAGTCCGGGCGTTCTTTGAAACTTCTCTTCTAAACGATGCATCCTCAGATGGGCCCTGGCCCCTGATGCAAAAAGAGGAACCCAGTGAATTGCCCTATGTCTCATTCAGTCCTTAACTGGACCACATCAATCTTGTCTCAGTAAAATCGCGCGCGCACAATCCTTTCGGGTTAATGCAGCGCATCGCCTGTTTACACGCGAGGAGACACTTTTAATGGAAGCGCACCAAAAACAAATGCAATTTCGTAAAGCAATTTCAGAGATCAAGAATCCCGTGTCCATTCTTTTCGCGGTTTTTAGTAATCAAACTGCGTTAAATCTATTGCACACAAGACTGACATATTTTACAACAGAATCTCTCCTCCATATTTCACAGCACCACACCAAAACAGTTCAGTTCTTTTGAGTACAGCATCTCTCTCTCAGATAGTGCCAAAGAGAACAGTGAAGAACAGTCAGTGAAGGTGGCTCTGTGACAGAGGGACTCTTATTGCTCCAAACACACACTGCTCCAGCCTGCGGTCAGTCGCAGCCGCTGCGCTCACGTCACGGCTTCATTATGCGTCTGCACTGCGTGCGCCTCCTCGCCTATGCGTGATGTGCTACGCAACACTTTAATTATACCTTAAATAAAATAATAAGCAAACAAGAGCCATTTCCTTAATAGGGCAACAGAGGAGGGCGTCACGGACCGTGCTGTGCAGTGACAGCGTGAGTGCGCGTGCATGCACTGGTACTAGTAAAAGCTTATTAAAATTACAGGGAACGCAGAAGGTGCTAAGTAAAAAAAAAAAAAAAAAAAAAAAAAAAAAAAAAAAAAAAAAGTACCGTGGTCCCATTGCACACGTTTGTAACCGAAGGTGCGCGTTTATCTGTGGATTGTATTTATAGCTGAACATGAAGAGTGAAATGTATATCATGCATTGGCCATAGTCTATATATATTTGTCATTCCAATAGTTTTAATAAAACGAAAGTATTTAAATGACATTGTGAGCTATTGTCTGTTTTAGAAAGTTGTATATAAGTGGCTAAGTTGAGAATGTTTATGTATATACGTGTAAATGGTTTCAGCTTGGAAAAATGAAACACGGTGGTTTTACTGGTAACTAATAATTGTTATGGGCTGGTGGTTATGAATTCCATATAGTTCATCAGTGGACTAGGTTGCTTTAACATTTGATTAGTTGCCTAATTGACTCAAATCTGAACATCATCACTTTGGATTGTTCATATTGTGTTGTCAGTATCAATGTTATTTTTTTTATTGTAGGCCATGGTTTCTGCTTGTGGACTATAAATAAGAGCCTGGACTCTTCTCCTTGATTTCCCCTCCAGTTCTGCTTGAGCTGTTAGAATATGTTCTTTCTTAAGTCCGCTCATTAGTTAGCCCCATTTAGCTCTGTCATTATGAGACTGTAATGCATCATTGGAGGTAATGAGTGCTATATTGCAGGTGCCAGTGAGTCGCAGACACTCTGCTCAGACCACTGTCTCTGTACTCATCATACACATACACACACTGTGCTTTTTAAATAGTACCCCTTCATTTCTACAATATTAGGAAAAAACAACCAACTGCTCATAAAATTACACCTACAATGAAAAAGAATATGTCAAAGGCAGCATATAATTTTTAGTTAGACACTGATTTGTCCTGTTTGTCGTTATAGTCCCAAAATCTTTCCCATGGCGTCCTGACCCTTTCCTTCCAATCAACATGCTCTTGAGAGATGCAATTTCAGTCATTTATAAAGCCATTCTTGTACAGTTGGGATATTTGGTGTCTTCTAAAGTCTTTAAATAGTTCAACAAGTAAAATAATTTGACAAGTTATTCCCGCAAAGATTACAAAATATAAAAACATTCAGCAAGCAACTTTTAGCCCCTAATAGAGCTCCAGTGAGGATATGAACCAAACACCACAGAATTACCAGATACAGTGGATAGTTCACTTCTACATTTCCAGTATAAGACATCACCTATTCACTCTTTGATTTGGCTTAGGCTAATAAAATCTATGTAATATACTTGTAATAAACTGTTAATCTTGACCATTTACTGCTCCACCACTACTCTTGTCCATCTATATAATCAGTATGTTATGATTAATAGCAAAATGGTTTATTCACTGAAGGATTCTCTCTTTAGTGATGGCGGAGTGATCACAGAGGCATGTCAGTTTTAACATATTTTTATTCCTCCTTTTAAAAGTTCTATTGTATTTATAAAATAAATTAACTATGACCCAATCTCTTAGAAAAACCATGAACACTCATACAAACAAAACCATGAAACCCCTATACTACAAATCCTCTAAGTTGGCCAAATTACATGACAACACAGATCAAGAAAAGGCAACGATCTTGAGGTAGAAACATGAATAATAAGCACTCATAGTATTTACAGATGGCTGTCTATTGCAAATGTTTAACTTTTGTTTCCAGCACCAGTCAGTCTTGAATCAATCAAACCATTAGGCTATATTATGTGTATAAGAATTTTGTTTGATCATTTGAATGAGAATGGAACAAATGAGACACAAATCATAGAACAGAACTTAACAAAATTGATGCCAAGTTTGGAAATAGTTAATTCAAAATAAAAGTTCAGCATATAGGCCCAGTCTTTTTGTATATGCCCAGGGTGCTTTGGTAAAAGAGAAGATGGGTCAGTTTGAATTCTGGCATGAAATTAGAAACTGTGCTGCTAATTGTCCAAGTGCAGCACACATAGAGCCACTGGGTGTAACTCTACTCCTGACTGGCATTTGGTCTCACGTGCATGCGGCCAGTGTGAAGCACGATCACGTCTCCAAAACAGACACAACGTACGCTTGTTAGTTGCGCAGCTCCAAATGCCACACTTTGCCACTCATCCATCCTTTTACATTGTTCGTCCCCTCCCACTCCACACATTTCTGCCGCTGAACACCATTCTTCCCTCCCAAGATTAATTGATCATCAATTTAGCTCTAATTTGGACCAAGTCAGCTGGTAAATGGGCCAGTTTTCCCTGATTGTTAGTGAAATGTGTGCAAGTACATTGATAAATTTTGATTATTTATCAATTACAGCCAAATGAACTAAATCTATTGAATAAATTCAAGCCTGATTGCCATAATAGAGTTTGAAAATATGGCTATTGATAATGATTCCAGCTAATAGTCTTTTCCGGCTGTGGTTGCTGGCTTGTCGGAATGACAACACAAAAGTCATTTTTCACCGGATCAGTTGAGTGAGTAGGGGCCGATCTTTCATTAATCAGTTGCATTACGGAGCTGATACGGCATAATACGCAACGCTTTTCCCACTAACTCCGAGACGCTTTGTCATCTTTTACGTCAATTAGCGGTGATCCCATTGTGTTCCATCACTACGTGTTGTAATGGTTAGCATATGCTAAGGTAAAGCCGTGTGTCTGTCCCACCCTCCGTGTTTGGGCTCGTGATGAAACGGGCCCTGCTCTTAATTTGCGCTCCTCCTCGGCAGCGGCGCTTATGGCGAGGGTGGAGCGCGCGCTTTTAAATGAACCTGCCACCGTGTTTTCCCAGAGTAAATGGAAAAGCAGCTCGCTGGAAAATAGGCGAGGGAACAATTGGAATTAGGTTCAGGGGCTTTCACACACGATAACAGGGGATAACTATGAACCACGGGCCTATTTTCACACACACACATTAGAGCTGTCATCTCCTCAACCTATTAATCAACTGTGATCCTCGGTTTTATTTAGTTGCATACTGGGACAGGGATTCGGAGAGGTTAAAAAAAAAAAAAATAAAAAAACTACTTGGTGACGAGTCTAAATAAAATCCACTAGACCAACTACAAAAGGTCCATTTGCCATAAATAGACAATTAAATGTTACAGATAGGCCTAGTTAATTCAACTTTTTATACATTATTATAGGTTGGCTATTTTCCATGCTATGTAGCCTAATATTTGAAAACTATACTTAAGAATATTTTAACATGTATTTAACATTTTCTGTGG